AAATTAATTCCACCCTCTTCCATACCCCGACAATTTATAGTAAACAGGTCTGCTCTGCTTTGTGATCCCTGGCCAGAGAGGCTGTCCCGGTAATTACGCAAGATGCGAAGGCCCGACAGGTACGAAGTCATTATTTCTAGAGGACGATGTGACTTAGTGCTGAGAATTCCTCTATTGATCCGTATATACAGTATTCACGCAGAGGAAAATCATTTCACAATGTTCCCCCAGCCGGTCCAGTAGAATAATAAATGTATTACAATATATCATCTATAAATTGCTACAGATTATTATTTTATCCATAAGGATCAACATTTATTAACAGGTTCTTATATATATTGATAAAACAAATGTGTCCTGACTATAGAAATGTATTTTCGGGATCTTTGAGGAATCTGCAGAACTGTAGCTGATTGTAGGAAGCGGTATATTTCATCTGGGATGACCCGAAGGTCCTCATGCAGTCCATGTTTTATACCAATTGTGAGTGAAAAAGGGAAACAGAAGCCAAAGAGGTCAGGTCCACCTCAACTTTATCCTCATTCCACTGCAACAACCCTCATTCTTTCAGTTTAATGGTTTCAGGAGTGGAGGAGGTGACCAATATCATATGGTACTTGAGAGTCCAGGACGAAGTCCCCTTGGCATCAATAAGAACCCAGAAGAATAATATTCAATGACAATGACACACTGACACTTGGGGCTCCATAACAATGACACACTGGCACTTGGGGCTCCATAACAATGACACACTGACACTTGGGGTTCTAGGACAATGGCACACTGACACTAGGGTCTCCATAACAATGACAACTGACACTTGGGGTTCTAGGACAGTGGCACACTGACACTTGGGGCTCCATAACAATGACACACTAACACTTGGGGTTCTAGGACAATGACACACTGACACTTGGGGCTCCATAACAATGACATCTGACACTTGGGGTTCTATGACAATGGCACACTGACACTTGGGGCTCCATAACAATGACATCTGACACTTGGGGTTCTATGACAATGGCACACTGACACTTGGGGCTCCATAACAATGACATCTGACACTTGGGGTTCTATGACAATGGCACACTGACACTTGGGATTCTAGAACAATGACCTGCAGAAGTTTGAGGGTCACAAAACAATGATATAATGACACTTGGGGTCCCAGAACAAGGGAACACTGACACTTGGGGGTCCAAGAAAAAGAGCATACTGACGCTTGGGGGTTCCACAAGGTCATGCTGACACATAGGAGTCATCCAATAATGATACACTGGCATTTGGGGACCTAGAATGAGAGTATGCCGACACTTGGGGTCCTAGAATGATGAAACATTGACATAGGCTATGCCTAGATTGATGATATACTGACACTTCCAGAACATGAACACAGTGACACTTTAGGATCCCAGAAAAAGGATATGGGGACACTGATGCTTGGGGTCCCAGAATGATAACACAGTGGTATCTCAGGTTCCCAAAACAATGACACACTGACATTTCAGGATCCAGAACAAGGGCACATT